GTTCACCAGGGTGAACACATCGCTCTGTCCACTGGCTGAAAGGTAGATAACATCCGACGCAGTCAGCAGTCAGCGAGAAAAGCTCACCTGCTGTATGCACAAAGGAGGTGTAAGAAAAAGGTCCTTCTGCCATCAGTCTGTGGCACTAGTGGAGATGGGGATGTGTGAAAGAGAGAGGCACTCCCAGTTTCAAAGAACAGATGAGAAGTGTGAGAAGAGAGAGGAGTGACGGGTGAGGCAGGGAGTGAATACTCTGCTAACCTCAGGTACACATGCACACACAGATAGGATCACAACGGTGTACAGATCTATGCACACAGACACGCTTATGGTAGATACCTAATGAAGCCAACTCCCACAAGAGTTTTGTGAGTCTTGCATTACAAGTTTTCATTCCCTAGAGCACCAGCTCTTGGAGCCAGCTGTTTACATATGGATTTCAGCTTCCATTTTTAACCTGTTTCCAACCTGTCTGCTTGTGCAGGGAAGTTTCAAAAAGGGAATGGTTTGAGAAAACTTGCAGGAAGCAAACCAAAAATAAACTAATATTTAATTGAAAATCTTGGCATTTTTAAGGCAGCATGCTATGCTTTTTAATGCCTGAGCTGCTAATGGATAGAGGTGATGTAGCAAATGTAAAGCTTGAGATTTAGTACCGAGTTTTCAGGATGAAGTGAAGTAAATTTATCCCTGTCCCCTACAAGTCCTTGATCCCCCAGATTTTGGGTGCCATAATGTTTTCCTGCCCATTGTCTGTTCCTGCTTTTAACGCAGAGAAGGAATGACTGGCTGAGGCAGAGCTGGAGCTGGGGGCCGTATTGATACTTCAGCACCTACGAAGGTAGATCTTCTTCCCTTCTTCTTCTGGGAACAATCAAAACCAAGCTTCTGTAGCTTTCCCTAGATTTAATTGCAGCAGGAAAAATAATAAAGGCTATTACAACACATGCCATGCCTTTTTTTCCAAGGGATACACATCAATAAATTAGTTTTATTGGGAAGGCAGTGCAAGAGTTTTTAGCAGGTTAGACACAGTTCAGATGTCCTTATTTATTTACAGAGAAATGTACACACACGCACAGAGAAACTCGGCTAAAAGAACGATATGGTTGTAAGCCAAATGCTAAAATGTTAGCAAATGCCAGAATTTGGATTGCCTGGGCACGATTAGCTCCCTCCCCCTCCCCATGTGTAGGCATGATGACATCATTCTGGAATTTCCTCCCTCTTGAGTGCTTGGCCTCATTTTCTGGGTGCTCAACAAGAGACACCTGGGGCCTGAAATGTAGAAGTGCTGAGAGCTGAAGTCAACTGGGCCTGTGCTTTGAGTGGAGAAAGTGCTAGGGAAAAGCTACGCATGTAAAAGCTCCCACATCTCTCAGCTTTCACTGAAAGTTGTCATTCTGATATTTTTGTCCTTTTTCTCCCTGTGTTTCAGTGTTTCTGCATGATGGCAATAATGTGAAGATAGTACTATTCTCACCCTGCACAAATGTGTTGCAGAGAGACGTTCATTGGGATATTAAGATGCTGTCATGGGAGCAGAAGAGAAACAAAAGCTTGGAAGGGTATTAATCTTCTCCGTGTTCAGTGTAATGCTTGGACCGTCTGCATTAACATGAGATCTGAGGCCAGAGCACCAAATAGAAGAAGATAAAAAATAGAAGGGTTAAAAAAATTACTCCTCATTGACTGGCTGAACCAAGAATCTGTTAGGGAAAAAAACCCTACACATTATCATGTAATTAAAATGGTATCATCATACATATTCAAAAGGGCTAATTATGGATGCCCAGGAAACCTGCATTCTGGAATATCCAATGTTGGCTGGCTTTGCGATCTGAATGTTTATTTGCCTTTTTTTTTTATATTGCACACTATTTAATGCCAATGTATGCATACTTAGAAATGTTCATAGTACATAAATTTGCTATTGTGCCGAAGTATAGTTATGCATATGTACACATACATGTACATTACAGAATAATGGCAAATGCTTCAGCATTAATTTTCCTGTGTTTTACTTAAATGTGAAAAAGATAACATTTATCATACATTTATTGGAGAATTTGTGAGTGTCTACATGGTTATTTGTTTCTACACGTGCCTACTCAGATTGGATGTGCCATCGTAGTAATTGTTCGGGGAGATGAAGACGCTTCTGTAGCTCTTGAACACAAATAGCCTTTCCCTATTTAAGAGCATATCTGATATTGGGAAGTTTAGAGAAATAACTTTTTAATTGCTTACATCACAGTAGTAGGAGTCTTCTAGTCACATTTGGCAAACACAGAGTTGCTACTAGCTCCAGTAGTGTTACACCCTGTTCAGAAGATCTAAATCAGAACCCAAATGTCTATTAAAGGAACCACATGAAAAAGACCTAGTAATGAAGAAGTGTATAGCTGCAGTGTAACACTTCTTCTTTGTAGATCTCAAAGGGCTTTGCAAGGAGGCCAGTTTTATTATGCCCATTTACCACGCAGAAGCTGATGGATAGACCCACTTGCTGTAGATCACTCAGTAGACCAGCAGCTGAGTGAAGCATGGAGGGTTGGCTGCAGAGTTTCAGCCTAGAGTCCTGTCCACTAAGGCCACCCTGCCTTCTACTGTAAGTAAACAATTCCTCAATGGAAATGATCACTAAATGCTTAGGTTAAAGATGTTTATCTGCTGAAACTGAGGGAGCCATATGTGAGATTAATATAGACTGACATAGCTAGACCAAATACCGTTTCTTCTTAACTCAGAGTTTGATGACTCTCCAGGCTCTAGGAGGTGGCCAATCAGTCCTAACAGTGCTTTGTTTAACATGATGAAGTAAAAACAGAGCAATTGTTCTCAGCTTGTACTCAGATTTGAACACCCCTGCTTCTGTTCCAGACCAGAAGTGATCTTGTCAGTCTAAAAGCTTGCCTTCTTTGTCCAACTATAGAAGTTGCTTTAATGAAAAAGTATGATCTCTCCTTACAAAGCTGGTTTTGTTTAATCTGCATGTAAACTACTAATTTTCGAATATTGCCCAA